ATTAGCAAGTGAACATGGCTAAGTAAATATTAGGAAGGCGTCTATCCTGCTAATAATTTTAGGTTTAGTAGGCAGAGCTGTTCTACCTGACCTCAGTGTTTTTTTTCCCTTAAAGGTTCTTTTTAGTTATGTGTTTAGCTCAATCTGATTAATATACATTTTAAACCCGTAAAAGCCCTGTCTGCATCACGGATATACATGCGTTTGACATTTATTTCTAATTAATTACCTTTATGGAAGAAGCAATGATAAACCAGAAGTGGGGGGACCCAGAGTGTTAATTTATTGCTTATCAGTGCATTTGTTTGCTATACTTCTTTTTAGATATAATATCCGGTATCTTTTCTGAAACTCCGAAATATTCGAATATTTTTACGGTGATTCTAAATTAGAACAAGTTTCATATTTCGATGATTTCATAATACATTTGGATAAAATGTCTCTTCTATAACTCGTTCATTTTGATTTGTGTAAATTGCTTGCAAATTTGTAATTAGTTTATAGGTAAAAAATTATTGAATTACAATGTAAACTAAAGAAATTTGTTTTGACTCTCCAAGAGCCAACAAATTTAGGTTTTAAAAAATACGAATAAATTACATTTTCACTTACACTAAAACTTTTTATTTTATTTAGTCTATATATAGAGTTAACTTTTAATTTTAACTATATGTATCTTTTGAAAAAATAAAATTAGGTTATAGCCTTTATTCTGTATTAATGGTTAAGTTAGATTATGTTAATTTTATTGACAGAAATGAAACAAGAAAAAATTATGATATATTTGAAATATCAAAGTAGACAAATATTAAAACAAGAGGAGTATGGAGTCTAATTTAATTAAATCTTGAAAACTCAAGATTTTAAAACGACAGAAACATGAATAAATAAAGCTGATATTTCCTTTATTATAAGAGGACGCTTTTTATCTGAAACAGGGTCATATAATGATGAATTGTATTCTTTTGTTCGAATCAAAATTCATCATGTTTTTGTCTGGTGCTAGTAGGTCAAGATGCTCTCGAAGATTGCTTATGCAGCTCATCAAATTTTGTATACTAAAAATCATTGCTGTATCGAATAATGAAGACAATAAAATTGAAAAGAAATCGCCCTCCCCCTTTCTTTTCTGGTCGGCTGCTTGATTCTTCTCACCTTTTGGCTTTTAGCCAAGTTTCTTTGCACCTTCTGAATCCTGGATTTTTCTCCCCTTTCCCTTCAGTATGAATAAGAATAACATGATAAATACTTTATATTTTATTCCTATATATATATATATATATATATATATATAAAGAATCTATTTATCATCTCCATGCAGCTAAACAGACTTATCTCTTGGGCCTCGGAGCCTTATTGGCTTCTACTTTTCCATCTGTGTCTCCTTTTACTTTGGCATCCTGTGCAAAGAAAACTAACCAGCATAAAGAAATCCAGTCTTTTTACGCTCAACATATATATATAAGAAAAGGAAATATACCCAAAGGGAAAAAGGTAAACCACCACCTGCGTGGCTGTCCCCGTGGTCGTCGTTACCATATGGTATTTGATGCTCCAAACTTTGGTTTGTTTACCGTAACTTCCAAGAGGCTAAGAAAACACATAAACTAAACAAGATAATTTTAAAAATGCTTATTTCCATCAAACGATTGATTGGTCACTGTATATTACACAAAAATTTCCTCCCTTTCAAAGAAGAGGGTTAAAAAAAAAAACCTGCTTAAAAGCCGTCGTTTTTTACGGGATGCAAAGCTGCAAACTAAAATCATATGGGTAGGTGAAAAATGTGGGAAGTTAAGGTTAAATTGAGGAATTTTGGGTGGTTCGAGGTGGATCTTGTAGGGACCCTTATGAGTCGAATATGATGAAACCAATCACCTAAAAAAGAGGAAAACCCCTCGGGATAAGAATCATCCTCAATGTGAGTGCAAGCGCAAGTGCAAGTGCAAGGGCATGAAGCCACGCCTGAATTATTGGTGGCTTAAAGGTGAATTAATAAAAAGCTCAATTAGGTATTGGCTAGAATATTTTTATTGGCTTTAAGTGAATAGGCATGGAGGCTTTAATTGTACTGTGCCCATTTAAATATTACACCCTCTCCGTCCCATCATCTACATTAATGCCTTGTGGACCAAAATGTCAAATCAGTTTTTCGTTTGTTTGCTATCGTTTAGAGGGATTGAAGTGTGCGGTCATTAAAGCATCATCTTCGATCAATATTCTATAGCCACAGGATTTTTCTACCCGCAGTTCAATAATCCGGTGTGTTTCGTTGGACTTACTATTTGTCGGCCGGCTCCTACTATTGACAGCAGAGCAAACCAAATTTTCAGGCTTAGGTTTTGAGAATTCAGACTTTGCCAGCTAGCTAGGCCCCCACCTTTAAGAAATGCCATAAGGCCTCTTTCCCCCTAATATTACACCATATGTGCCACGATTTATTACAATACGGTTTCGCTTTTTTTAATTTAATTATTCCTCTCCGGATCTCATATGCCCCTGACAGCCCGGACGTTGCTTACGTTTTAATGTAGACCCTGAATTTTCTGCTAGAGAATAAGCAAGAAAAAGAGCCGTTGAGATGTGGGGAGAGGAGGGGTTAGGTGGGGTGTCAAGTGTCAAAAAATGAGAAAAGAAAGCAATATGGAAAGGAAGTGATAAAGATGAGATGCTTCACGACCCTTAATGCGTCATTGCGTAGAGTAGTCAGTTCACTTTTGTATCAAATTTCTTCTGTGCAATTAAGACTTGCATAGCACTTCACTTAACTTGCTTTTCACACCGACGAACCCCCCCCAAAAAAAAGCTTCCTTTTCACACCAGATCCCCATCCGAATGTTGCGAAATTCCGCATAAAAAGGCGCAATCATACTTCCGTTCTCTTCAAATATACATTATTGCTGGACTATAAATATATATATATATATATTCTCGATCACCTTTTAAAATATATCCAAATCCTAATTCCTTTTTTCCTGTCTTCTATTACTTTCTGCTGTGAATCTCTCACTTTCTGTTCCCTCTGATCTTCCAAGTAGGTGTCATTGTTCTTGAAAATCCAGAGCCATCTAACTTCTAACCCACTTTCTGCCCTAATGATGGCCTAGAAAAGAATTGTTCTTAATGATGTATAATATAATACTCCTCCGGTCCTTAATATAGGACTCCGTTATTGAGTTGGTTTTGGTCCTAAATATAAGACACATTTATCATATTTTTTAATTTTTTCTAAATTACCCCTATAGATACTCCCTCAACCATAATCAAGTAGAAGAGAAAGAGGGGGTATTAAGAAAAATGTGTCACGTTTATTATAATTAACTAACTTACCTAACTTCCTTGATCTAATCAAATTAGTTAAATGGGTCTTATATTAAGGACCGGAGGAGTATATGAGCTCATGGGATGTCCTTCAGGTCATGTGTTATCCCAACAATGAAAGAGGGGAGCTCATGTGGTGATGATTTATTATGTGTGTGCGCGAAGGTTCTTAGATAATATGGTCCCAACAAGCTGCTGTCAAATTTTGGAAGGTCGAAGGAGATGGACAATATTGATTTGTACCGTGACATGCTTGGGGATTTTTGTTTTATGTACATGCCTCAAACAAACGTTATTATCCGCTAATCAATGACATATATATATTTATATAGATCCTGTTCAAGAACTTCCGGAAACAAACCCCAGATCATTAAAACTTTCAATATATCTGTCTGTTAGTTGTTATAATAACTAGCCATAATAATGTCTCTCAGTGGAAAAGGCTGTCCATAAATCATAAGCATTATTATTTCCAGTCACAGCTGAAACAAAACACTTCAACTAATTAACAGAAAATGCAATCAACTTTTCCATTATAAAAGCAAAGAAGAGAAAGGGGTCAACTTTCTGAGCTTCAGCTGAGACACACACATGCACATGTATGTATGTATCCAAAGCCCAAAGGATAGGGACGGATAGGGAAAGAGGGCGGTTCATTGATTCTCTTCTATCTGCCTCATCACAGTAAGCTTTAGCTGGTGATAGCAATTTTATTCTACCATGCCTTTTAAGATAAAGAACAGAGGGAGGCAGGAACAAAGCATTAGGTCGGCGTGGCGGAGCCGGAAGGTTCTCTGCCATTATAAGAGGGGCCCAGCTAACGTGTTGCAACCGCCTTATTTTCCTCACTAAACATCCAATGCCCATATATATGAGAGAAGCCATCCACATCCATATCACTGCACGCACATATATCCAACTTAATATTAATTCGACCTTTTTCCTTGGAAAGACAAATCTCAAATCACTATAGAGAGAGAGAGGGGGGGAATCACGGGCATATGTAGCTGAGAGGAACTGATAATTAATCTTCTGTTAATAATATTTGACTCAATTATCAGCCTACACATGCATGAAAGCTGGCGCAATATTATTCAGGGAGTTCACATTATTTTTTCCCACTTTTCGTCCCTTTTCGTTTACCCAGCAATTGAAGGCGCCTCTTTGCTGACTTGGCAAGTTAAACCATGTATAATAGGTGCCGAATCAAGCGTGCTTCGCCAGCTTTTCTTCGATTGGCAGCGGTATCTTAATTAAGTATATATTTCAACGTTTCACAAGTTGGCGTAGAATATAATATACAGCACATATATAATTACGAATAGTTAATGAGCAGATATGTGTGCTTCTATTAACAGTACATCATATAGTTTGGAAGTAGAGAGTGGTGAAATAAATAAAATGCGTGCTGGTAAAAAAAGAAAAAAGAAATAAATAAAATGCGGAATGAGTTGGTAACATCACTTAGTTAACATTAATTAATAATTAGAGCTGGATGCTGATATATATATATATATAGCCCTCCACTAGTTATTTATAGTGTGTGTATATAATTGCAGACCACAAGTCCACAAGTAAATAGCATGATCAATATACCATATCTTTATCGTTCTTATATCGTTTTCAATTACAAGACCACTTTATTTAATTATATATAAACACCAAAACACCCTCGAAGGCGTCCATTACACGACGCCTCCCTTTCCTCATCACTATACTACCACTCCAGTGATTCCCTCCCTCACTCCTACCCTCCCCCCTTCATTATATACTTTTATTAGTTGCCCTCCCACGCACCACTTTATCACTTGTTTCTCCTCAACTCTTTCTCGCCCCTTCTCTCCTCCGTTCACCACCGTCGGCCGCAACCACCACCATGTCGGAGAAAGTGTGTGAGCACCACAGGGATAAGCGAAGGAAGATCTTCCGCCGAATATTCGCGGGGATCCTCATCTTCCTGTTCATAGTCCTCGTCACCATACTCATAATCTGGGCAATTCTCCGTCCTACCAAGCCCGTCTTCATCCTTCAGGACGTCACTGTTTACGCCTTCAACGCTACCGTCCCCAACTTCCTCACCTCCAACTTCCAGGTCACGCTCTCTTCCCGAAATCCCAACGACAAGATCGGAGTCTACTACGACCGCCTGGACACCTACGTCACCTACCAGAACCAACAGATCACCTACCGGACATCAATCCCGCCGTCGTATCAGGGCCACGACGAAGTCGACGTGTGGTCGCCGTTTGTCTACGGCACCAACGTGCCGGTAGCTCCCTTCAACTTCGCCTCCCTCAGTCAGGATCAATCCAACGGCAACATCCTGGTCATAATCAAAATTGATGGGCGCGCGAGATGGAAAGTCGGGGCCTTCATTTCCGGGCGTTACCATCTTTATGTACGGTGCCCGGCGTTTATAACATTCGGGCCACGGAGTAACGGAATTAATGTGGGGGAGAACGCCGTGAAGTATCAGTTGGTCCAGCGGTGCACCGTGAGCGTGTGAAGATGGGTGCGGCCCCCCCACACGTTCGGCGGAGGGAAGTCAACGTCCATCTGTGAGAACCCAATTACACAGTGTCCATCTCTTAGCTCCTGGCTCCTTATCTGAGTATTTTTACAATCATCTGTTTTCAATTTTTTGTATAATTTTTTCCGTCTGAACCCTCTATTGGTCCAAGTGAATCTGTATTTTATCACTACTGTGTTCACATTAGATAAACGCACGACGTAAGGTCTCCGGAATTGTACATTTGGCTATTAATAAAGAGGAAATTATGCATATATAGTGAAAATCACGGTGATGGCAAAAATACAATCTGTAACGACGGAGCTGATAGTTTTATTATTTTCCAGAATAAAATGGGATAACAAATGGGTGTTGAAGGGAGCATCCGGCGTCACTGTCTTCCTTCCCTGAATACTTACGCGTGACACATGTTTTGGCTTCTTGTTCAATCCCTCCGTTTGTCTTTTTATTTATTCATTTTCTTTTTAATTAGATAATTACGTATAGGTAAATCCACCAAAATCCATATTATATATGTGTGCAGCCTGCTTTAGTGGTACTTTTAACAAGAAAATAATATTAAAATTTTAAGGTATATATCGGACCGCTCAATTTTAGGTTCTCATTTTCCCATTTCGTTCAAGATGCCTGCCACAGTATCATATTCCAACTGGATATATACTTTTTTGGGGAGGCTTTTTAACGGGAGAAAAAGGTCGTATTGTGGTGATGTATATATATATATGAAAAATCAGCGAAGGACTTAAGTAAACTGCAAAAAGCAAACCAAAAAAAATTAAAAGTGATTAAACGGGATACCAAATATAGGGCAACATAATTAAAGGAAGAGATGAATTATTGTTGCGTGTGGAAGCTGGGAGAGGGTTTTTTTTCCCCCTTGGTTGTGTTGGTAGAGGGTGCACATGAGGGTGGGGGGGGATAATGGGAAAGGGTGGTCCTTGTCAAAATGGGAATGCAGGCAACAACTAATGCAAATAATTAAATGAGTGAGTGAGTGAATGAATAATGGGGGAGACACATGGTGTGCGGGAATATAATGAGGGGGTGGTTGCTACACATAGGGGCATCATGTTTTTATGTAATGAGAATGAAAACGAAACGAGGAGGAGCAGGCAGGTTCCGAAATTAGGAAGCTTCCTTTATCATGCAAATCACCTTCCCATCCCATGTGCTCCCTCCCCCTCTTTCTCTTTCTTCCATGCCTTTCTTGACTCCTTCTCTCATCATTCTGGCCTTATTTCCACTCCAGGGCCTGTCTACGTCGCATTTTCCACCCTCTTATTTTGGGCCTCTCGGCCCATTACTCTGGACATGTTCTCTTCCCCCAAATCCGTGGACCAGTATTATTTAAACCTTGCCTCCGGGAATTTAGTTCGATCGCGGTCAACAAAGACGAGCATTAAACAGAGGACGCGGATGATCTCTGCAAAATCAGCCGTATAAAAAATAATTTTTCCACACTAGTCATGGGCTGGCTAAATTAGTTTTAAATTGATCTACGTTGCGATTAACTTTTGTTTCTATTCCAGGCCTTGTTTCATGTCAAGAAAACTATTCCAAACAAGCAGTTGTTTCGGCATTTTAATTTTTATAATTTTAACACACAAAAAAGAAAATTTTATTTTAATTGCGAAAACAATTAAGCGGCGAGCTAGTGGAGTTAGAAAACCGGAGCGTACAGCTCATAGGGAAATTACGGATAATCACTAGACTTGATTCTATATATATAATATATAGCCGCAGACATGCGCACTGGGATGAGGATGAACTGATGTATTGGATAAAGTCGGGGAGAGCCCATTATGTGACGGACAAGGTCAATAGGGTACCATGGGAATTTTCCTGCGTACGGATGTTTCCGGGCAACCGAGTTGGGACGAGGAAAGGCTAGTCAAATCTTTGAGCGCTCCTCATTTCTGACCTCCTCCGCCGCGTTATCCCCTCAAGCGTACATATATATACACCCTTCAATTCTCCCTCCCCTTCCGACACCGCCACAAATATCCTTCCCATCTACTTCATATAACTCTCCTGTCTCTGTTTCCTGATTTGATTATCAACCATGGCTGACAAGTCTTTTCGCGCCAGAGGCTGCTGTTGCTGCCTTTTCAGCTTCCTCTGGAAGTTGCTCGTCGCCATCATTGTCATCGTTGGTTTGGCCGTTCTCATCTTCTGGCTCATCGTCCAGCCTCGCTCCTTCAAGTTCTACGCCTCCGAAGCCCAGCTCACCCAATTCGACTACGCCAACAACACTCTCCGGTACAACCTTGTGCTCAACTTCACCGCCCGTAACCCTAACAAAAAGCTCGGCATCTACTACGACGACGTTGAAGGCACGGCGTTGTACCAGGATGAAAGGTTTTCCAATACCGACGTCATCACCTTCCGGAACTCTTTCCGCCAGGACAAGAAGAGGACGGATCCCATGAGCGGCGTCTTCTCCGGCCAGCAGCTGCTGCCGCTGGATGAACTTCAAGTGTCTCGGTATAACGAAGACAAGTTGGCCGGGGCGTACGACATTGATGTGAAGCTCAAGTTCGAGATTAGATTCAGGCTTGGGGATTTCATTACCGGCAGCTACCGTCCAAAGGTCAAGTGTGGACTTAAGATTCCCTTGAGCGGTAACGGAACAGCGGCAGCCACTGGGTTTCGGTTTCAGCCCACTAAATGCAGAGTCGACTTTTGATGCCTCGGATCGCGGTTTCCATCCCCTTTCTCTGCTTTGCATCGTTTCTGTGGTTTCAATTTATTCGTTCTTTCACATCATCCTTGTATAATTGTTTCATTCTTTCAACGTGCATGGAATGCGCGCCATATATATGTACCTGTTAATTCATCAGTATGCTGATAAATGATTCTTATGCTTTATATATATAATTAATTTTATTTGGCTATATTCTTCAATATGTACGTTTCTATTGCTTTGCTACTGTTGATCTATATATTAACATGCTGCGCCCGAGTCCAGAGTGAGATCGCTGAACACCAAAGTTATCAGGATCTACCTCTCCCCCAGTTTTCTATTCACTTTACCCCGGAAGTTTATGGACGTCCTTCACGCATTTACGCGCGGTGATGCATTATTAAAAAGTTAAGTTCCTTCCTATCAGAAGCATATGTGGTATGCCGCCTCCAATAACTCGTGTCATCTAAATGCGAACTGGAATGACCTTACTCTGCTCTATGTCAACCTATAATCAGCGCGCAATTATCCCCATTAGACTTAGCTTCCCCTTGGCTTGCGGTATCCAGCAATATGGCCGTTCAGTGAAGCCTGGATTCGCTACAAATTGGCTGCCATATGCCCATGGATACTGATACGTTTGTACCTTTTTAACTTGTGAGAACGGACAATAATCCCGGAACATTTCAGAAAAGAAATAACCTGAGGAGGTTCTACCACGTGGAAACGCTCTTTAATGGAACTTTAGCTTTAACTAGTCGTGACCAAGAAACTACCGGTTTCGCTTGGTGGGCCGGGAATGCCCGACTTATCAATTTATCCGGTAAACTACTAGGGGCTCATGTAGCCCATGCCGGATTAATCGTATTCTGGGCCGGAGCAATGAACCTATTTGAAGTGGCTCATTTCGTACCAGAGAAGCCCATGTATGAACAAGGCTTAATCTTACTTCCCCATCTAGCTACTCTAGGTTGGGGGTAGGTCCTGGTGGGGAAGTTATAGACACCTTTCCATACTTTGTGTCTGGGGTAGGTTAGGGCTTGTTTGGTTTCTTATTTTGAAAACAATTTTGTTTTTAAAAACAAGAAAAAAAAACTTTTTTGATAATTTGTTTTTAGATGATTGTTTTAAAAAACAAAAAACAGCAATATGTTTTTAAAAACTAAAAAAATCAAAATAACTTTTACATGTTTTTTTGCTTTGTGTTTTGTGTTTCTTATTTTTTATTTTAAAAAATTTTGAGAAATCTTCTTTTCTTTACCTACTATACACCGTTTATTATTACTAGCGACAACTATTATCTACCAAATGTGATTTTTGTGGTTTTTTTCAAACATGATATTTTTAAATTACTATCCAAACAAATTCTTTTGTTTTTTATTTTCAAAACTTACTCTAAAAAATAATTTTATAAAATTGTTTCGACCAAAAAAACAAAAAACAAAAACAAACATGCCCTTAGTTTCGCTTCGTTTTCTTTGGTGTTCATCGACTATTCACTCCCAACTAAACTCAATTCTATTTAATATTATTAGCAATAAAAAAATCCTAACTTTTCAGATGTAATTAAGCCACCAAGCACCACGCGCCTTCCGGCCTCAACCCGCAAAATCCTTCACTCATTCATTAATCTTCATGCCTTGGCTTGCTCAGGTTGATTTATTTATTATATTATATTCATCTTTTAATTTATGAGAGAGAAAAAAATTATAATAACAAGTTTCTATTGTAATTCTTCCTTAAGACTTGTCCATAAACCGATTGCCGTTCGCCCATTCCACTTCTCTGGTTTCTCAATATATATAGCACCATCCACTGGTGGTCTCTTCTCTCCAAGGAACAAAAAACCGGACCGGGCATCAAACCGGTCGAGATAGTGGGTCAAGGGTTACTGGTCGAACCGAGGTTGAACCGGGGTCGGACCGGTCATATTAAAATAATATAATTAATTCATAATATTAAAATAAAACAAAATTCATAAATAATAATCACTAAAAAAAGATGAGAAGCTACAAAAGTAGTAGTTTAAATATTTAATAGTACCAAGCAAACATTAATGAAATGTATATCTTAACTAGGGAAAATCAAAATCATCACTAAGATCATTTGCATGGGCTGAGATGTCAACAGCTGGACAAGGAAAAGCAGGAGCAACAACATCATCTTGTAAAGGTGGAGGGTCAGCAATGTTCATATCTTCATCACCTATATAAGACAGTGACCAACATTAAAGATTATACAAATAACTATATATTGGTATAAGAATAGAGTCTTAATTAAATATATAAACCTTCATTAGCACTCTCAAGAGTTGTTGAATTGGCAGTGCCGTCATTGTTAAGGACGTTTTCCAATGTATCCACATCTCTATCATCAAACTCCGGATGGGATCTTCTTCAGCCACCCAAAAATCCACCATATCAATGTTTTCATAGTCAATTGGATCATAACTTTTGCTATTCTTCAATGTACTCCTTTAATGACAAACAAAATATTAGATAAATATAAATCAATTAAAAAAAAACTAAAGTTATTCACTGTTTCCAAGATTACCTATGCTTCAATCGCAGATTATAATTGGTGAAAACCAAATCATTCAGTCTTTTATGTCCCAATCTGTTTCTTCTTTTCGTATGAATTCTTTCAAATAAGCTCCAATTCCTCTCACAACCAGAAGAAGCAGAAGTTTGACTAAGAATGCGCATTGCAACACGCTGCAATTCTGGAACTGAACAACCATAATATGTCCACCATTCATCTACATAATAAAATATATTTAGTATCCAATACTATATAGAATTAGTGAATAATCATGAATACAATAAATAATAATAATACTTACAGGGGTCTAGTTTTTGAGCAGCTTTTTGACATGAAGGCCTGCTAAAAGATTCCTTGCCTTCGCGATAAGTAGTCGCTTGTTTCATCACTAGGAAGCCATCAATATCTTCATCTGAGTAAGACTCAACCACATCAATCAAAGCCATCATTAACTTTGACTTGCTAGGACAATCTGGACCATATGTAATTGCAGGATTCAACAAATACGATGCCGCATGAAGATTGGTCTTCAGATGTCTATCCCATCGAGTTTGAATGATTCTTGTGTAAGGCTTATACAATTCCTTGTTCTTCTTAAACATCTCCTTAATTGCTATTTTTGCCCTTCTCATCCCCTCATAAACGTAAGGCAATGAAGGCTTCTCATCTGAGTCCACAATTCTCAATAATTTGATGAGAGGAGATACAATCTTCACAACTTGATAACAGTCATTCCAAAACCGGTTATCTAAAATGATTGCACTAAAATTTTTCCCTGCCTCAGTCTTTGATAATCTATGGTCCACAAAATGCTTATCAACAACCAGAGCCTGCAAGTCATTTTTATGCATATATATGCTGTGCAATGTAATAAATGTCGTAGCAAATCTTGTGGCACCAGGACGCACTATTTCTTTCCAACTCGGTCTCCTCCTCAACCATGATAAGAAAACCATATGATTATATGCAAAGATAGTTACCTTGGATGCCTTTGATGCGAGGTCTGACACATTTGGCATGCTGGAAAAGTCTTTTAATATAAGATTCAGACAATGAGCAGCACAAGGTGACCAATAAATATTTTTATACTTTTCTTTAATCAACCTGCCACATGCTACATAGTTAGCTGCATTGTCAGTTACTACATGGACAATATTCTTAGGACCAATCCACTCAATGACTTCACAGAATAGAGTAAATAGAGTTTTGGCATCTTTGACTAAATCTGAAGCATCAACAGACTTCACAAACACCATTCCGTGTGTAGAATACACTAAGAAATTTATCAAAGTACGTTGCCTCACATCGGTCCATCCATCAGCCATGAGTGTGCAGCCATTGTTTTTCCATTTAGCTCGATGGCTATCTATTAGTAACTGACATTCTTTTCTCCAATCACTCAGCAAATTGGTTTTGAAATCATAAGCACTAGGGGCTTTAAACCCAGGCCCAATTGAAGCAATACCATCTACAGCTTTTTGAAATAACGGGCAATCAAATGCTTTAAATGGAATGCAATTCACAATGGCCCACTCAGCAATCAACATTTTTACATTGTGTTTCGCTTCTTTAGTTGCTAATGCACTTTTAATACCCGGTTGAGAATCAGGGGTTGTGCGAGGAGCAAAATAATTATCCATACTCCCTATAGATTTTCTCTTTTTTGCACTACTCATGATAATTGGTGAATCAACATGAGTATCTTCAATTTCCTCTTCTATATTTTCAATGGCTTTTTTCTTTGAACACTCTTTCAAAGATTCTGTCATTCTATGACGTACATCATGCGAAACTTTTTTACAAGAAGATATTTGACCAGTGATACCAGCAAGGTGTTGCTTCATCCTATTTATCCCACCACCTCTATAACTATTACCACAAAAAAGGCAGGTGTATACATTTTGTGTCCCTTCTTTCTTATAAGCAACATGTGCCCATGCAGGATCAGTTTTTGCACGCAATGAAGAAATTGGTGTAGGAGGATTGGAAGTTTCAGTGTTGGGAGTGGAAGATTGAGTATTAGGAGTGACATTATCATTTCCAGAACTTTGATTATTTGAAATATCCATCACTGCTACCTCTTGAAAAGAAAACAAAATCCATATAAAATCAATTTAATTCAGAAATAGATGCATTCAGAAAAACATAATTCAACTTATTAGTGATTAGTTTTTCTGTTTTTGACACATTTGCACAGCGCCGGTTATACATAGTTCAACATATGCAATGACATTTCACTCTTATAATTCAACATATGCAATGACATTTCACTCTTATAAGACTTGGCTGAATAAAAATCAAACCACACAGCGCGCCGGTTATACATAGTCTAAAATCAATAATCCAGCAAGACTCATTCAGATCTCATTTATATATAGTCTATAATCAGCAAGACTAATCAGCAAGACTCATTCAGGATCTCATTTATATATGTCTATAATCAGCAAGACTAATCAGCAAGACTCATTCAGGATCTCATTTACCGCAAGACTAATCACAGTAAAACAGCAAAATTCATTCGATACAAATTACAAACCAAAACGAAAATGCAAGAAAAGGAAATAGGATGCGTATGCCAGAATACCAGAAAATATTAGCTGAGAGCCTGAGACTTGAGAGGAACCGAGAACGACAGCAGCGGCAAGGAGACGAGGTCACGAGCAGCGGCAA